TAACATGATCTCCGTTTTGATTTTTATGCGTGTTGTATGTGCACCGGGGGGAAAGGCCTAGAAAGCTATAAATGACCAATTAACAGAGGTTAACAGGGCAGCTATAGGGGACTCTTATTTTCTACCCCCTGGACTTAGTATTTAAATAGTAAGTTTGTATTTCTTTTCTAATAAATACTTTTAAAGATAGAAACAAGTGTACCCTAGCACTGTAGGCTCACCGGCCACTCCTAGGCAGGGCCTGTCCCCAGGCTCAGGGACCTATCTATGGTGGGAGTCATGTGTGCTGGTGAAGGGCATAGGTGCTGCGGCAGGCGGCGTGGGTTCAAGTCTCAGCTCTATGGCTTGTCAGCTGGGTGACTTTGAACAAGTCACTTAACCTCTCTGTGCTTCCCTTTCCTTATTGATAAAGTGGGGATAACTGGGGTCCCCCACCTCCTGGGGCTGCTGGGGGAATGAGATGAGCTATAGCATGTATAGATCCTAGAGGACGGGGAGGGGGAACCCACCCATTTGCACAGCAGAGGGAACCTGACACCCAGCCTTGGTCCAGCTGGCTTGAGGGAGGGTGCAGAGCGCATGATACCTGGAAACAACAACCATTAAGTCTCTATTTCTCAGAGTTTCTGTATGCATTGAGTGGTTATCAGACACCCAACGCTTACGAGTCCCGACAGTCACAGTGGCTTCTGAGCACTTGAAATGGGGCTCACCCAAACATGTGCTGCGTGTGTGCCATACACACTAGATCTCCAAGGTCTTATTTATTAAAAAAAATATTTATCAATAATTTCCTATTAATACATGTTAAAATGATGACACTTTTGATACACTGGATTAAATCAAATAAATCCTAAAATTTCCCTTCTGTTTCTTTTTTACTGTGTCCACTAGAAACTATGTGGCTCAAGTGTGTCCTGGATGTATCCCAGGAGGACAATGCCTGGCACAGAAGCTGCCCCACAAATGCTACCTGAATAGTCCACTTTTGGATGGAAGTCCATCCACATAGATACCATTGACCTCTGTATATGGCTTGTATTTGCTAAAACAAAGTGACCAAGAATGCTATCTGTCATCATTGGTCTATTTCCCAATATCCTTGTGAAATCAGTTTAAAAAAAAATTAGTCCTGGTCTAGGACAAATTCCTAAACCAATATTCATCCAGATGTCCAGCTTCTTTATGAGAATATACAGGGAAACGCCAGTCCCAATGTCAAAAGCTCTTCCTGACACCTTTCCTTTCCTCTGCTATCCTTTGCAGGCATGTGTGTGAGATAGAAGATTCCAGTCCTCTCACAGTGTCACAGTTCTGCACACTCATTTTTCAAAACTCTTAGGAAATCCTCTTCTAGAAAAAGACCACTGCTAAACCAAAGCTGCTTTGCAGCAGTTTTTGGCCCATGTGCTGAGAATTCTATTCAGGAGGCTCTTCTTTGTGTGATTGATTGAAGGATTCCCTAAATTTGGAATGAAGTTTGCTGCGAATGGGTCCCAGAGTGTCTAGCATCCACAACTCCCTTGGGACCGACTATGACCTACTCTAGGATACCGGCAGAGGTTGGAGAGAAAGGCCCCTCCAGCCCCAGGCTTCGTTCCCACAGTCCCTAATGGGAACAGGCTCCGGGGAGATTTCTCAGTTCTGGTCTCTGTGCAGAGGGCTGCCAAGATCCCATCTGAACAAGGGGCGGGTAGCGCATGGCTGGAGCCATGTCACCAAGGAGGAGCCTCCAGATAGTGAGGTGGGGCCCTGCTTCACATGCTCAGCTGCCTGCACCTCCCTCCCTAACAGTGATGCCTGGGACCCCACAGCTGCAGGGCTTATTTGTCTCATCATCTGTACCCCCACTGGATGACACACCCCATATGGGCAGAGGGTAGGCTACATTTTCCCTGCTGGATCCCAGTGCCTGGGACATCGTGTGGGCTTGCCAAGTATATGATCCCTGATAGTGGGTGCACATTGGTAGGACAGATACAAGGATAAAAGCGGGGGTTCCTGCAAGGTGCTTTCCCCCTCGTCCTGAAAGACAATCCATACAGACTATTTCTCATGCACAAGTCGCTTGGCCCTGTGTGTAAGAACCACAGCGCCTTGAGGTGTGCAGCAGACCTTATAAGGTATAACATAACAATAAGGGCCACTGGATTCATCGTGCCCGAGGACACCCAGCTGGCAAGCAGTGGAGCAGATGTCTAAATGTCATCAGACCCCCCACGCCCTCCTGGCCTAGTCCTTCCCTTTTGTGTCTGCAGGATGGACTCTGTCATCTGGCTGCTCGTGGACCCCAGCACTGGTCCTGGAACCCCATGAATATGTAATGAAAAAATGAGTCTTAATTGCAAAATATCAGAATCCCACACAGTGCCTGTAAGTTCCAGGGACTTAACCACCTTCATATCATCCTCCTGAGTGCACCAGAGCCTAGTCCTGGAGCCTGTGACTCAGCAGGTCTGGGGAGCACCACAGAATCTGTTTTTCTAGCAAGCTCCCAGCTGATTTGGATTCTGCTGGTCTGTGGGGTTGGGTTTGAGATCCACTGCCTTACCACTACCCCGGGGGGTAGGTGCTATCACCTTCCCCTTTATAGGTGGGGAAACTGAGGCACAAGAGAGCATCCAAGGAGGAAGGGAAGCAGGATCTCAACTCTGGAGATGCTGCAGAAACTCACTAGAACCTCTGAACAGTGTGGTGGGCATCGGCCCCCTCTGGGCCTGGGAAAGTGTGCCTGGAAGATATTTATAATGATAGTGGCAATTTGGGCGGGTCCCTCAGGAAGAGAGAAAGAACGACTGGGGTCTGGAGGGGTGGGGGTGACAGTGGGAAAGAAGCCACTTTGGGGACCCATCTCAGTCCCCAGCTCTCCCCAGACACCCACCTCTGGGGGCTGCACACTGAGCCGTGTGGCAGCCCTCAGGGAGCCACTGTGATGTCCTCAGGGAGGAGCCAGGCAGTGAGTACGGAGGCCGGCCGGCCAAGCTGCTCGGCATGACCGGTTCCTCTTCAGGGGTATAGAGAGCTCAGAGGAGGGGGGGTCCTGGGACTTCTTTCCAGCCTGGCCGGGAAATTCCACCTCATCAGCTGCCTCATTTCCCTCCCATTAAATCAATGGAATTTCCTTTCATTAAGCTTTTCCCAAAGTTGCCCATGCTGCAGGAGAAGACACAGAAGTTGTTGGCTGCAGCATCGGGGCCCAGGGCAGAGTTCCTGTGTGGGCCCCTGGGGCGGGGGATCTGCACGTCACTCTGCGGTGTCTTTGTGACAGCGCTGTCCTCAGGCTCCCAGGCAGCCTGGGAGGATGGGGGGCCACGGAAGCCTACGCTTCCAGGGGCCTGGCACATTTTGTGTTCTTGATTTTACGCTCTTTTTTGAAAGAAGGCCCCTCAAATATAAAATCTCAGCATTCCATTCTTCTATGGGCTCAACTGTGTCCTCCCTTGGCCCATTCCTATGGCTAAGTCCCAACCTCCAGTGCCTCAGAATGTGCTCCTATTTGGAGTGCATCTTTCAAGGGATAATGAAGTTAAAAATGAGGTCACAAGGGTGAACCCTGATCCAATCTGATTGGTGTCCTTAGAAGAGGAGAGCAGGACACAGATGCACACAGAGAGAGGACCATGTCAGGATATAGGGAGAAGGTGGCCGTCTCCACACCCAGGAGGGAGGCCTCAGGAGGAAGTCCCCCCTACCCTATCCCCAGCCTACACCTTGATCTGGGACTTCCAGCCTCCAGCACCTCAAGGTAATGAGTGTCTATGGTATAAGCCCCCTGCTGTCTGGGTACCTCGCCCCAGCAGCCCTACGAACAAATATACTCCCAATGGGGATCTGCCCTCAGGGAAGATGAGTCATCAGTCCCATTTCACCGATACAGGAACTGAAGCTCAGGAAAGGCTGGTGCCTCGTGTGAGGTCATGGGGGTCTCAAGAGGAGACCCTGGGCGTGGAGTCTGGATTCCTGGACTGCAAGGCCTGTGACATGCTTCCATGGACAACAGGGACACATGTGAGGCTGAATAGCATGTTCCAGAAAATGGATTGGCAGCCTGAAGTGGTACTGGGACCCCTTCTGAAGAACATTCTGGAAAGGAATACCCAAAGCCTTAGACGTTCTCTTGGTCTTTGATCTGAGAATGTCACTTCCAAGGATTTCAGGAAACAAGCATGACAGTTTCAGACAGTCCTTTGTGAGGATGGTCATCACGGTGACAATTGCCCCCCGCCTGCCCCAGGGTGGAGGAGTGCTGAACTGCCCAACCAGGAAGCGAGGTGTGGTACACTCACTGGATGCAACGGCGTGGGGTCACCAGCAGTGACACGGGGTGTGGGTTTTAGGAGCAGCCTAGAGAATCTGTTCTGTGAAAATACAGAGTAATAAACTCTCCTCTACCAAGGGCCTGTTGCTCTCAGGTACCAAACAGCCACTGGATTAATCTTCCAGTGACTCTGTGAGGCCAAGACCACTGTTGACCCCATATCACAGGAGAGAACAGTGAGGTGCAAGGAAATCAATGGCTGGCTCGTGGTCACCAAGCTGGTGAGAAGCAGAGCCTGGTCTGTTGGACTCAGACCCTCTGCCCTTACTCCTGTGACGAATGTAACTATAATACCATGTTGCAAATGAGAACCATCGTGTCAACATAATTTGATCCTATTTGTTTCACACTCATACACGCACAGAGAAAGGGCCAGAGGGAGACACACCAAAAATCTCACAGCAACTCCCCCAGGTGATCGGCTATGGATGATGGTTTTTCTCTGGGCTTATTGGATGCTTCTAAATTGTCTACAAAGACATATTGTCATAGAAAAGCATTCTTATCTTTAAAACAGAAAAGAAGAGAAAAGAACAGGCTCGTCTTGGGTATTCTGGTGAGAATGAGTGCAAGCCTACCTGAGTTCTACTCTCAAGGTCAAGGTCATTGGCTTTCCTCCCAGGGGCCCCAGGAGCACCCGTGGCAGGCCTTGGGTGTCAAGAGCCAGAGAACGCAGCCCTACCTTTCAGACTGGATTCCATTCCTGAGTGAGCCCACGTAAGTCTTCTTTTTATCCACAGGCATCACGTCCACGTAGCCCCCGCTCTCGTTCCTGATGACTCCTGCATGCACGGCCGTCTTGCAGATGCTTGAACTCTAAAAGCGCGAGAAGAGCTATGATCAACGTCAAGGATGTTGTGCTCTCAGGCAAGACCCTGCCACTGCCAGCCAGTACTTGGTGGCCTGGTTGGGGAAGGGGCATTGATCAAGTTACCCCTAGGAAATACCCATCACCACCTTGATTTCTCAGGGGTCTCTCCAGAGAAACCTGGCACCATTCATTCATGCACTCATTCATTCATTCAGCAAGTATTTTCTGAGTACCTACTATGTGCCAGGCACTGTGCTAGATGCAGGGAAACCCAGCAGGGAACAAAATAAAGACACTGCCTTCATGCAGTTGAGGGAGCCTGACAAGCAAACAAACAAGCAACTCTGCCTGTGAAGAAAAAACCAGCTCATGAGATAAAATGACTGGGTGGAGGCACCCTCTTAAACAGTTAATCAGGGAAGACAGCTCTTGGTGTGACTTTTGAGCTTATATCTGGATGACAAAAAAGAATTGGCCGCAGCCTAGGAACAGGCTGTGCAAAGGTCCTGGGGTAAGAGTGAACTTGTCATGTCCCAGGAACAGAAAGACAGCCAGGGTGGCTGGAATACAGAGAGTCAGGTGGAGTGTGGCAAGACAGGAGGGAGAGGTGAACAGAGCCCATCATGTGGGGCTGTGAGGACCACAAGGGATTTTAGGCTCATTCTAGGGGCCAAGGGAGCCACTGGCTTTGAAGTAGAGGCAGGATGTGCTGTTTTCCAAGATTATGGAGTAGTTGAATTTCTGGATAATAAACTCTTCCTTGAGTTAAACTTTGATTTAGGGTCTTTACTTATCCAGGAGAAAAATGATCCTCAGGATGAAATGTCTGGGAATAATTAATCAAGCTTTCTCAAACTGGGGAGATTCATTCAGGGGTGGGTGGCTGGTCCTTGGTCCCCCTGACCTGCTGAATCAGAATCGCCCCCGACTAGGACCAGGTGATGTGAGACACACTCAAGGTGAAGAACCACATAGGTACATTCTCCTGCCACTTCCATGATCCTGTCATCCAGCCTGAGATAAAATCCAGCCCTGGCCTTGGCAGTGGGCGTGAGTCTTCACTGCAACCCAGAGCCACCTGCCGCATCTTCACTCGGTGACAGCACCCGGCCCCCCATTCCCCACCCCACTGGATTCTGCTGCTGTGGGGGAAGCCTGAGCTTCAGCATTTTAATTACACACTGGTCAGGTGGTTCTCACGAGTGGCCAGGGCTGCATACAGGGGCTGAGCTGATCCATCTGTGGGGCCACCAGCCTCCTTCCCAGTAGACCTAATGCCTAACTCCGAGCCTCTTCAGTGCCAGGCCCTGGGCTGACTGCCTCTGCCTTGTGATCTCATTTCATCTTCCAATGGGATGGGTGAGTACCACTATTCCCATTTTACAGGCCGGAAAGCATGGGGTTTGTAAGATTCAAGAACTTGGCCAGGGTCATGCAGAATGTGGCTTAGCAGAGATTCTGGTTGAGCAAAGTCTATGCTTCTGTGGTCAGCAGAGTACTGGCCTCCAACGGTGTCTACATCCCCGTCTCCGGAGCCTGGGACCGTGTGAGCTCAGGTGGCCAAAGGGCACCACAGAGGTGACTGAGTCAAGTGAGGAGTTTGTGAGGAGTCACCACAAGGGTCCTTCCAGGAGGGGGGTACAGGGAGCAGAGTCAGAGAAACAGCATACCACACCGCTGGCTTTGCCGATGGAGGGGGTGCCACGAGCAGGGGCTGTGGGCGGCCTCTGGAAAGTGGGGAAGACAGGAAAACACCGGTTCTCCTGGAAGCTCCAGAAGGAACGGAGCTCTGCCGACAGCTTGACCTGAGCTCGGGGAGGCCTGTGTTGGGTTTCTGACCTCCAGACTGTGGGACAGTAAGGAGGTAGTGTTTTAGGCCATGAGGTTCCTAAGTCTGTGGACATTTATTCCAGCAGCCCTAAGACACCAACACAGCTTCTAATCACGGTCTTATTACAAACATGTTCCACGGATGAGGTCCCTTAAAGTTTGATGACTTCCAAATATTCAGAAAACAGAGTCACCAGGAGGGTGGCCCCAGTGACATCCGATAACGTGTTCACCCAGGCTGATGGAGCGAGCTGCTCAGTCCAGCTCAGCAACCTGCCAACTTGAAGACAGAAAGTCAGGCCGATGTCTACAGGGTAGGAGGACTGACTCTAGTCCCTGCCTTCATTCATGACCGAGTGACCTGTGGCCATGACTGGGGGCTTTACCTGCAGACTCCATGTGTGTCGAGGGTAGATGGGGGTGGATGCTTTGTGCCATACATGTGCCACGCAGGGAGTGGAGGTGAGGCCACTGCTGGCCGTGCCCCCAGTGTGCAAACACCCACCAGGTGATGGTCACTTGGCAGGAGGGTGGGTCTGGGCTTGGCTGTCTCTCAAGGCCACCTGTCTGCACAGTGCCTGGGACCCAGGAATCCCCTGGGGGGTGACTCAGGTTCCAACCACTGGTTAGCCCAGCCGGCACCTCCTTCTTAAAGAGAGTAGGCTGGTGCAGAAGAACCCTGTATGATTCTACTTACACGGGGCATCAGAAGTGGCCAAGTCTGCAGACACAGAACGTAGAAGTAGGGAGTTTGTACCCTAAACCGCCCTTTGAATGGGACAAGCAGCCCATGAGCAGGTTCCTAACACCAGACGTGAGTGAACACATTCAAGTGGGCTCTTTGAAAATCCAGATTTGAAATCTCACGCGTGGCTGCTCTGAACCTGCAGCCTGTTGGGAGCCCTGGGCAGTCCCTCTTAGGGACCCCTGTCCAGGCTGTGGGCTCCTGCCCCCTCCTTCAGAACCAGGTCCTGCCCGAGAAGCCGCTGGTTTTGCATACGAAGAATAAGGCTCTCAGCAGCAGAGGCCACACGGCCTGTTCCCAGCCTGTTCCCGGGGATGCCGAGGGCTATGGAAAGGGCAGAGCCCGAGAGCCCAAGCGAGCATTCGCACCAACGACGACGTGGGAGTGCTCACCCCTGTGACGAAGTGAGGAACCAAAGGCCACGGCCGATCCTGCCCTGACACATCTTTGCTTCTCTGATAAATAAACGGATGAGGGCAGGTCCCTTAGCAAAGTGGGCTCTGGGGATCTGGGAGGCCCCAGGGGTGCAGGCAGTGCTCTGGGAGCCTGTAGGGTGGGCAGGACCCTGATGCTAGCGCCGAATGTGGGTGACCCCTCAGGCCCAGGGAAGCGGGGACAGTCAGTTGCCTAGTCTGCACGAGGAAGCCTTCTTAACGATCATCTCAGAAAAACGATCCGTAAGTTTCCAGTTCTGCAAAGGCTGTGAGGCACCCGAGGATCAGGAGGCAGGGCCTCCGGGGCACTCTAACCCCGCGTGCATGCAGACGTGCAGGTTGTCCCCGTGCATGGGCCGAACTGGGAGTCCTCCCGCCTCTCGGCTGCGGCTCATTCCACCGACCGAGCGGCCACTTCCACGGCAGCGCCAGGAGGGCCCCGATCCCACCTCGCGCAGGCCCTTCCTGGGGAGGCGCATCCTCTGAACTAAACACTGCCGGAAGGTGGGGTGCTCTGGTTTTGCGCCCTCCATGACTGTCCTTTGCCTCCGGTCCCCAGAGGAATTCTGGACACCAGTGGCACAGAAAGTTTTCTGTGATGACATCAGCCGTGAGTATGAACACCACCCAGCCAGCCGGATCTTTCTCACGAGATAGGCACAGCTATTGTCCGTTATCAACACACACCTCTTCACGCAACCACAACGTTGGGCAAACCCGTGTCTTCCCCTTCCTCTCCCTTCCTCAGATGTGTCTCCCCTCATGAGGCAAGCTTCTATAAAGATACAGGTTGTCCACTTTCTCTCCTCAGGGCCCGAGTAACACGAACATCTGCATGCTTATTAACTGCTGCCATCACCACAAATGTGGTCTCAGTGAGGCTGGAACCCATCCTGCCTCTACCACTTGTCAGCTAGGTGGCCTTGAATGACCTGCTTTAACCCCAAGAGCCCCTATTTTGTTGATATAAAAGGGGGATCATCATAGGTAACACTTAGGAGCATTTACCAAGGCAGGCCCTGTTCTATGAGTTTCCCTGTGCAGTGATGGAGAAATCTCTCAATAATCCTGCAAGGTAGGTATTATTGTCCTCTCTTAACAGAGGAGTGGAAAGAGGTTCAAGGAGGTTAAATGACTTGCCCCAAATCACTCAGCTGGCAAACAGCTGAGCCAGGACTGCCCTCCATAGCCAGCAAGCTGCCCATTACTCCTCATGGGACCAGGAAGAGTCTAAGAGGACTATGTGGAAGATGCAATGAGCTCAGGGGTTGAATGCAGGCTCGCTGCAGGCAGCACTCAGTAGATGTTAGTAAATAAGATAACTGGGCACCACCATAATCATCACTGTCACCGTCACCATTATTGAAAACACTCAAGGGACTGTCGTCCCGGACCAGCAGCACCAGCATCGTCTGGGAACTTGTCAGAAATGCAGATTCTCTGGCTCTCCTCCAGACTCACTGAGTCAGAGATGCTGGGGTGGGGCCCAGAAATCTGTTTGAACAAGCCCTCTGGGGGATTCTGATGTATGCCCAAGTGTGAGAACTTATCCAGCAGCTGAAGGAGACAGGGAAGAGAGATAAGAAAACTGAGGCTCCGAATAGGAGAAAGGCTCATCCACCATCTCGCAACCAGGTCTTAAATTTGCATCTGTGACCAAGACTTTGCTCTTTGGGCTACACCCTGCTGCTGTTCCTGTAGGCAGCTCACCACGGAGGGAAGGGGCTGCCAAGTAATGCACTATGGGTGAGCAGGAGGAATGGTGGCTCTATTAGGCCCTTCGAAGATCTGGAGACAACTCTCCCAAAATAAATCCCTTAGCTAAACAGATACTTTCCAAAAGGCATCGTCATTTCCCAGAATACAGAGTGACCTAGAAACCAAGGCCAGGAAAGAACCTCTGAGATGGACAGAACTCCTTTCCTTCTCTCCTTACTCCTCCCCTCGCCTCTCCCTGTCTCCCCTCTTTCTCTTTCTCCCTTCCTTCTTTTATTTTCTGAAGAGCTTAATATTTAAACATTGATTAATGTAGCATCTTTATTTATTTATTCCTTCAACAGACATTAACTGAACAATCATTATGTGCCAAGCCCTGCGGTGAGCACTGTGGTTCTAAAAGCTCAAAACCCTAGTGAACAAGTTAAAGACTGCATACAGGTCTTCACTCACGTGCCCATTCACATCAGTGTAATTATGAATGCAGGTACATTTAAACAAAGCAGAGTACAGTAGGGAAATAAAGGAACCTAAAGCAAGACATAACCTCACAGCATCTCATCGTGGCTCTGTATTAGCTATGTGATTTGGAGGCAGGTTATTCTAAGCCTCACTTTACTATCTTTTAAGATGGGGACAATAATACCTAGAAATGGTGTTTTTAAAGAACCTAAAACATAGTAAAAGATAGTTTTATATTTTTGTTAATTTTCATCAATTTCTCCTTGCGTTTCTAACCTTTTAAAAAAACTTTATATGTTTAGGCTGCTATGTTGTTTGGTGCGTACAGATTTGATCTCTTATCTTCATAAATTATACCATTTGTGCTACTGCACAATGAATTGTGTTGTCCTATTCAGTATGGTTAACCCTGAATTCCACTTTTCAGATAGCAATATTGTCACACCTGCTTTATTCTCTGTATTTCGCTAGAATCATTTGGCCTATCCCTTTATTTTTAAGTCCTTAAAATCAAAGTCTCCATCTTTAATAGCAGGCTTTGGGTCAAACATTTGGTATAACAGTTGATAGACATTATTTTACTTCATTAAAATTTTAAAACTCAATTTCGGCTGAATGGCTTCTGAGAAGAAAAAATTCATTTAAAAAAGGAGAGAAAAAAGATGAGGGGAAAAAAAAGGTAGTCATGAAGGTTGCTTTGACTTTACAGAACTTAGTGACCTCATATTTATAGGAATTTGGAACAAATGAAGCAGAGGGAGGCAAAGATTGTGGTGGTGGGTGGGAGAGAACAATTAATATGAAGATGGAAAAGAGTTGAGTAAAAATGTTAGCTGGGGATGAGTGATGCTGAACTAATCATGAAATGTTAGGCCTCAAAAATTCCTTGGACTTGAAAGGCCCAGCTGGCTAATTCTACAGAGAGGTAAGCAACTTGGCAAGAACATCACACAGCCTGGTGCACAGGGCTATGACCACATTCCCATCTTTGGGACACCATGTCCATCAACCCTGGGCAACTGGAAAGAACAGACTATATCCTGGAAGATTCACTCAGAAAAATCAAGCTAAAGGTTCCTTGTTAAAGTTAGTAAGAAAATGTGGAAGAATGGACTCCAGTGTAATAAGAGTGGTTATGAACAAGTAGTAAATTAGTCCAATTTGTAGCACCTTCCATGTGCTTTTAGCTAAGTGAAGATATAGCCAAAAAGAAGTGCAGTGAGTAGAGTGGACCAGTTCTATAAATGCAGCAGAGAGCTGGAAAGATTATTAAATATCTGGGGAAATGATATATGTGATATGTGAAAGCCTTCATATTAAAAATGCACATGAATGGGGAAGCAGGATTCAATGTACCAAACTATGAAAACACTTTCATAACATGAGGTACACCTGCATCTGCATTCATAAGCATACATAAGTGGAAGTACTAATACCACTATAAATGGGGAAACAAGGGTAGGGTTGCAGAAATAAATGATCTAAATTTAGCTAGAAGCACAGGAATGAGATCTCAGGTTTCTGGTATCCAGGCCTTGGAACGTGGTTTCTAAGGTCTTAGCATGCTTTGAGAGGTGGTCATGGAAAATGCTGGCATACTCACATCTGCATAGATGTTAGTTCCAAACACAGGAGCCCAGTAGGATGGCTCGTCTTTGCAGTGTGCTGGGCAATGAACTCTGGAAAATAAGAAACATTTGTATGATGGTTATGATCATTAGAAAACAAAAGTTCTTGAGAAGCAGCTGGCCTTCCCTATTTGAATTTCAAGATTAACTTCTTACATGGGAAAGGAGACAACCATACAGTTTACTCTTTCAGAAAAAAAATATACCTCTCCCACCCTAGCAGTGGTAGATCTTTTCCCTCTTTGTAAACAGTGCATACAGAATTTTTAAATTCCATATAAGTGAGACATGCAAAAATAACAAGGTGAAAAAGAATAAATATGTAAGAGAGGTGAATATGGGATTGGGAGAGGTTGAACCTTCCGTTTGTGGGTGTTGGCCAATTCATATTATAGGTACCTCATAATCAGAGAGATTATAATCAATAGACTTTTTTTAAAGGCCACTTCCCTGGGTGAGGGCGGAAAGGGCGGAGGGCCCTCACCTCAGTGAGTCAGACTATTCCAGGGAAGGGGCACTGATAACCTAAGGCGGAAGAGGTTAGATCACCACTGGGTCAGTCACCACATCTCTGTTAAAGGCATTAAAGGCATAGGGGATGAGGAGAATACCTCAAACTGGAAATGGGTGGGTCCTAGGTGGTACAAGAGATTCAAGTCAGTAAAAAGCATGAATTTAAGAAAAGGTTTTTTAGCTTTTATCTGCAACAATACACCATGTTGCTGGAACCCAGCAACCAAGAAACCAAGATGGTGGCTGGAAACCATCTGGCCCCACAACAGACAAGATTCTGGCAGGTAAGAGAGCCAGGCAAAGGCATTGGGAAGTTAAAATAGTCTGGGGGAAAGGAGGGCAGGTGTGAGGGCAGGTGGAAGGAGAGAAGGAAGATGTATGCGAGATTTTAAAAGAAAAAAGAATTTTGGGAAGAAAATTCTTTCCTACTTTTTCTAGAATGGCAGGTCAGAAACCTGGGTTTTGTAAGCTTGCACTAGATCAAGATCTTTGTTCTTTTATGTTTTCTGAAATAATTTCCTTCTGCTTCTCTTGAATATTTGGGTTAACTATCTAATACTTAATAAAAAGTTGTCATCCTTGATTGAATATTCCAAGGGGATCAGCATGGTGGTGATGTTGGTGGTAGAAGCCAATGAGAAAGCTCCAGGGGGAACGTGAGCAGCAGAGGGGAGGAGTGGAGGTCCCCACCCAGTGTCTCCTCCATCACCGGCACCCTCCCAGGGCTCTTCCCTGCACACACCTTGAGGGTGTCTACATGTTAGTTTTAAGGTGAGTCTTTTGGAAAGTCCATAGGCCTAGAGGCCCAGGAGATGGATTCACAGCTTCCAAGAGGACTACCAGGTACTTCAGAGGCCAATATTACCAAAGGTTACTCTACGTCACCATTCATCATCCTCCGAAAACCAGCCAATTAAGGTGTGGGTAAACACATGTAAAACCTATTCCTTGGACGAATTGTGTTCCGTGCACAGAATAGAACCCCACATAGCAACACGACAGAGGGAACAGCTGACATGCTCGCAGCACAGATGAATCTCAAAAGTATTATGCAGAGTGAAAGAAGCCAGACACAGAAGTCTACATATTATGATGGTGCTGTTTGTGTGAAATGCTAGAAAAGGCAAAATTATAATGCCAGAAAGGAGACCAGTGGCTGGCAGACACATGGGTGTGAGGTGGAGGGAGAGGGGGATGAGAGGGGGCGTTCTGGAATGATGAACACATTCTCCAGCTTGACTGTGGAGGTGGCGACACGATTGGGTACATTTGTCAAGACTCATAGAATTGCATACTTAACAATGGCTGGATTTTAGTGTGTGCAAGTTACACCCCAGAAAAGCTGGGGTATAATGAGCTGGTTCTAAAATGACCCATAGAAGATGTCACAGATGAAGCACAAGGATCAAGGAACTGATTGAAAGCAGACAGGTGACAGCCTGGAGCTCCTAATAAGGTGACGACCTGCAATTCTATCCCGCAGCCAGGGTTGGGAACCGTGGTCTCAGGGAGGAGTCCAGTGGGTCTGTAACTCTGAGCATGAAGAAGTCGGTTTTCTGGGTGTCTGCACCAAAGGGCCACACCTAGAACGCAGTTGTGCTTCATTTCATGAGATGACCCCCCCGCCCCTCCCCCACAACTCAGCATGATGCCTCCTCTCAGCCCCTGTATTTGCAAAACCAGATGCCAGTGGGCCTTACCTCGGGCAGTGGGTCCCCGCCTTCTCAAACGGGCAGAGCTGAGCAACCGTGGTATAACAGTCCAGGTCCTGCACTGGGGACAGGAACATGATGGGAAACGGTGAGGTCGTTGGCAAGCTGGGGTCTCAGGCTACCAGCCTGTGAAACAGCCCATTGGACAAGCAGGTCCTGGGGGCTCACTGGGTCCTCGAACAGAGGTGGGACAAGAAGCCAGCAGGTGCTGAGTCTTGGCACTGACTGGCACCTCACCTTGGGCCCCTCGAGGGATGAGATACCCTGTGGCCTGAGTGTGTCTACGGCTCAGGAGTGTTATCACCCCCTATAGTTTCTCCATGGGACCAACGATACCTTTTTGTCTGCTTTTCTATTTTGAAGCTCTCCCCTACCCCATCCTCATGGCAGGTATTATTCTAATTACACAGAGGAGAAAAACAGAGGCCCAAAGGCCAGAGACCATCCTGGGTCCACATAGGGCATGGCGGGAGGGCAGGTTTCTGATTCCTGGTCTAGAGCTCATCCTCAAGGTCACAGAGGTCTGAAAGTGGCTCTAATACTGGCTGCCTGTGGTCTCTGAGAGCGTGTCATCAGCTAGTCCAGGGCTCGGCAAACTTTTCCTACAGGACCAGAGGCTAAGTATTTCTGGCTTTGTGGCCCTGTGGACTATGTAGTAACCACTCAACACTGCTGGAGGAGCAGAAACCAGCTATAGCAGACGTGTAAATGAATGGGTGTGATGTGTGCCAATAAAACTTTATTTACAAAGACAGATGGCAGGCAGGATTTTCCCTGAGGGTGGTAGTTTGCCAACCCCTGGTCCAGCCTACATTTGTGTGTAGCAATCCAACAAAGGGGACTGGTTCTATATGCCACAGGTTGCGATACCATGAAAGGCAGGGGAGGTCATTAAAATTAGGTTTAGAACATCATTTAAAGGCACAGAAGCATCTTCCTGATACATTATTATTTAGGGGAAAAAATCATGTTACCAAATTTATGTAATTCCATTGCAATTTTTAAAAGTGTATCAGTGTATTACCAGCGCACATACTCCATCATGGGAAAATAAATTATAAAAGTACTTCCAAAATGTTCACAAATGTTATCTCTAAGTAGAAGAATATGGGCCAAACATTTTTTAATGCTTCTTCATATTTTTAAATTATCTGGAATAAATAGGCATTATTTTTGTAATAAGGAAAAAAACTACCACATGTTTTTATAAAATCATCTAACCAGATCTTTGTGCATCCAGGGGCTATGACGACAAGAACTGCTTTCCCAAAGGAAAGGAAGGGTTGGCAGGCCAGCTTCCTGAGGAAGGGACCCTGCATCTCCGCTTGCCCGAGACTATTCTGGTCCAGTGCCCAGTCTGCGCAACTATAATGCACAGCTCCCCTTCTGCTTATGGCACGCTCTCGCAGGGATGCACCCCACCCTGCTGAATGAACGTACCCTAGACAATAGAAAAATACATAGGCAATTTAAACTATAGGCAATATGAAAAGCTGGGCCAGAGATGGCAAATATGTGCCACATACTTCCTTGCGTTTTCCTCTGGCCCTCATGGCAGACAATACTGGTCTATCAAGCCCTATTTTCTAATGAGCTCAGAATGGGGCTTCAGCACCCTTCTCAACACAGGGCTCCAGTTGCTACTGTGGACCAGCAGGAACGGACTATCTCCTATCAGGTGGTTTACACCCAGGCATTAGCATTTCTGCAACACTCAGCTGGGAACCTCAGGCCCACATTTCTGGGGTAGCAATTTAGGGCCAATGCCAAGTTCAGATGTGTTTAGAAACTGGTTAAAGAATTGACCTCATCAGGAGCCTCCTTTCAAATGCCTTTTTAAGGGCTGAGAACAGCAGTGTTAGCAGGCATCAAATACAATCAATAGCTAAGAAGAATGACATCTCCAGGAAAACCCAAGATAACCTGTGTATTACAGTTCCATAAAAACAGACTGGCCAGCTTACCTTTTACTTTTGACACCACGAATGAGCTGGAAGGCTTGTATTTGCTAGAAAAGAAAACAGGAGGTAAATGCAAACAGAATCGTTTCTAAAAGTCCAAGATTGCTCCTACATTTATTCTATTTTCAGCCTCAACTTTATATTTTCCTACTTGTTTCTCATCAGCCTGAAAGCCCTTAGAACATTCCAGAGTAGGGCTCACCCTTAGAACAGTCCAGAGCGGGGCTCGTTAAACTTCTCTGTGCCAAGAACCCCTCTGGCAGCCTTGGGAAGCCTATGGATCTCTTCACAGAAAAGTGACTTTAAAATGTGTATGATAAATTTACAAGATTAACAGAGAATCAGTTACTCATGACATTGTTATAGAGGTCTTAAAACGACTCTGCATTCCAGTGTGCATTAAAGACACAATGGAGAGGCGAGTCTTCTAACCGCTGTTGTCTCAGGGTAATGATGGCAGAGACCGTTGTTTTCAGATGGCCGCAGCACCAGATTTGTCCCATGAGAGGGTTGCTGGCCCTGCTAATGCTACTGTGGTTTGGGGCCAACGTTCATACCAGCAGGAAATACTACATTTCAATTAGAGGTTAGAGAAAATAAAGCTTTGATTTGCTTTGTGTCGCTGTTTGCAGACTCCCTAAAATGTGAAGAACTCTGTTCCAGATGCAAAGTTGGCAGTTGGGAGGGCCCAGAAGCAGCTCTGTGACAAGCGTGCTGGGCCACGTGGGGCCCAAACCTGGTGTCCCTGCTGAGCCTCGTGTGGCCAGCATTAGGTCACTGGGCCTCCGAGAATATGTTGCTTCCGTTTAGACTTCCTTGCTCTTGTGTTTACACAACCCCTGAGTCCCTAGCTAAGACGAAGAGGGAATTTTGCAAGACCTCTTGAAGAACCAGGCCTTTGAAAGGGGAATGACTCATGTGGTTTTTGAAATGTCCTGAGTGGAACTCCTTGGAACACACACAGGGGCTTTGGTCACTGTGGTCCTTGCTGCAGACCCTGGGAAGGGCATTGACACGGGGAAGCTCTCTTGATGCAATGCACCATGGCCCAGGGCTGCAGGAAGCTGGGACAGGGTCCCCCATGTCCCTGCTGGGCCAGACACTAAATCCTGCATGGGGAGGGGGCTCCCGGGCATGAGGGAGGGTGCATTCTGAGGGCTCTGGGTGACAGATCTTTCCTGGCGACTGTGGAAGAACTTTATCATTTTAAAGATTGGCTGGCTGTACCTCTGTGGACTAGTTGGGTGTCAGCCCTGAGTCCTACCATGGCCCTCTTTGACCAGCGAGGTACTGCCACCCAGAAGGGATGAAGAAACTGGCCCAAGGTCACAGAGCAGGGGAAGGGTAGAGCCAGTCTGTTTGGCCACTGTTGGGTTCCATGCTCCCAGTTACTTTATGCCTCTATGGACAGACCAAGATGTGGCCTCCCCCACCGCTCCCCAGAAGGTCAGGATAGGGAGGACAGCCTGTCCTGCAGGCCTCTGCAGGCCTTATCTGAAAAACAGTATCTTGCAAAAAAAGTAAATATATTTTAAAAATGAAAAGCCTCATTCTCTAGAAAGAAAAGATGCTAATCAGGAATAAACCTATAAACTCAAGAAGGGGTCAAAACTCAGCCAAATTAAACACAGAAAAACCCACTTGGGGGAAAGACGGTAATTTGCCTATGGGGTGATTTTTGAGCTACATAGTTAAGTTTATCTTTATAGTTTTTTTTCTCCCTGCTTCGTTATACTGTTCGGTGCTTTTCGAAATTTCGACAATGTTTTCATAACCCATGGGGGAAAATGTTTTAAGGAATCCTGATCACAGAATAGTTACCTCAAAGACTCCACACCATGTCTCTCAGACCTGACGAAGAAGGGGACCTTCCCGTTCCTGGTGACATCCACCAGGCCACCTTTGCTGTCCAGGATTCCGTAGTGAATGGCGGCCCGGCATATGCTGGATGACTAGGGGCAAGAACGGGGCACCATAAGTCCATCTGAATTGGCCTTTGTCCAGGCTTCTTAGAAATATCCAGGATGTTTGTCAACCCACAAAAAGCTGAAACGTCAGGCCAAAGCTCGCCCCACTTCTGACCTTCCTTTCCCTAGAACACGTCTTTGTTCCTGGAGTAGCTTATCTTAGAAAACTCATCCGAGGTGCATTACAAACTAAGAACAATGACAAACAGCCCTTTCTCCCCATCCAGTGGAGCACATTAATGCTAGGTCTAGAATGGAGACGGACTTTCATGAGGGTCAGCCCCCGTTCCCCAAAGTGGCTTTACTAGTCCGTGATCCCAGAGATATGTGCGGATCAGCTCTCAGGCTGAGGGGTGGAAAGGAAATCTCATCGTGAGGAACCACCAACCTCCTTTACAAACACACGGTGGGAGTCCACACAGGACACTTACACTTTCATAGAAGAGAGTCCCAAAAACTTTTGCCTTGCTCTCCAGGCAGCCTGCGGGGCACTGATACCTAATGGAAAAGAAAGGAGATGACTTTCTCAGGTGAACGTGTTGATGGAATCTCGCCAAGAACTTATCTGGGTTTGTCTCCTACAAAAGCTTCACTTTATATCAGAGAGAAGCTTCGGTGATACACAATTTACTGTTTCCAAGCGAGTCACAACTTCCCTAGGCTGGAGCTCATAGTCCCACGAGCGCCATTCTAGATTCAATCTGACCTTCTTTTCACGTGTTTGAGATTCGTGTTGAAGGCAGAGACGCAAATAGGACAATTCACAGAAGAGAGACATGTGGCTTTCACTTTAAAGGCACCAAAAAAAGAAAAAAATCCTGAACTATCAGTCATCAAAGAAGGTACAAATTGAAAGGAGATGCCTCTCCCAGGTGTCAAATTGCAAGGTTTTTTTTTTTAATAGAATAAAATTCAATGATAATGCTCATGCCCATAAAAATGCATAAATTAAGCTTTCTGGAAAGCCTTAAAAATTCATACCCTCCAATTCCTGAAGTTTCCTTGTAAATGTATAACCCAAGGTAGAAGTCAGAAAGACCCACATGTTATTCCAAGTGTTTATAATCATGAAAAACTAGAAATAAGCCAGCACTGTCAAAGCAATGGCCAAACATATGTTTGTGTGGTCGTATGTTAGAGTATGATGCATCTGCTAGAAATGAAATCTTTGAAAAATATTTGACTTTGGAAAATCTTAAATGAAAACAGTAATGCACAAGATGCATAAGCAGCGGTAACCTCACCGGGGCACAGAAAACAGACGGGAAGGGACTACATCAATTTGCTATGGATATCAAGAAGATGCTGGGACATTTGGGTTTTTTTTTTTCTTTAAACTTTGTTGTTGTTGTTTTTCCTGAATTACTTACAATAAACAAGAATACCTTTTAGATCAGAAAAGAAATGGCCCAGTAAATATTATTTTTGTCAAAACATCAGGTGATGGGATCCCTTTAAGGAGACAGACTGTGGATGCACTTGTGTTTGCAGGTGGGAGAGTTATAGTTCTTGATTGGAGGCCTCAAATAGTCTATGTGTGGATGGACGCCCACCTTCTCGCTGCTTGCAGAGGGTCCCACCTACCGACTCTGGAACTTTCTCAATGCCACCTGATGGATGGTCTCCAAACCTTATAATTTTTTCGCAGTGACTACTCAGGCATGTTGCTCTCATAATGAGCTTGCAGTATAGAAAGGCACATCATTGCAAAGGGACATCTCAGCATTCTGAAAACCCCAGCCCCATGCAAATGTGCCCTAATGCCATGCACCGGGACAGTTAAACCACCACCCCTCACGGCCACATGTTGTTCATCTCACTAACAAACTGACTGCTTTTACTTTTGCAGTACTTGCTGGCCAGCTGCTCTTGGGCTGCACGAGCCCTTGAGCGACCTCATCCTGGGTTGTTCAAAGTTGACTTCCTGACACTCCTGCCAAAGTCCAAGGGAAGCTTCTCCTGGCAAACAAAATCCCAAATCCCCATTGTATATAGCAGGATCTGCTACCTTCTCTTTTTAGCATATGCGCTAAATACCACAATTCACCTTTAGATGAACGGTTGCCAGACTCTGGAGGAAGAGGAGTAAGTACCACTCTACCACTGACATGGTTTTCCAACCATGAGCCCGAGGTTCTGCGTGAGGCCACTGCACCTGTTGGCCATTTGCTGCCAGAAAGAGCGGCCTAACAGCTGCACTGCCAAAACCAAACCCATCCTTCTTGGCAAACATTCTTCAACATCTGAATGGACAATACTGACTCCATCAGTTAGATGAATTCATTCAACTACCAGGGGAATAAATACACTGACAGTTCTTCCTTCAGTGGAGACTCACAGACCGCAGTCCTGCTGGATCTGTCAGTGGCCAACAGCGCCAACTCACACGTGCCCTCCCACGGCCCCCTCCCTGACCTCCCTGGCACAGAACCCTGGGTTGCCTTGTGACCCCCTTCACACACACAGGTGGAATGGAGCCCCAACCGTGCAAGATCTCCATGTCTACAGCACATCTGCTACTTGCACATCCACAGTCTGGGGACTCTTTTCAGGCCAATAACCTAGAGCATCCATAATTGAGGCCTCTCCTCCCCATTAGGGATGAAACACTTAACTGGGATATATGTCCAGGTGGGAGGAGACCCAGGGCTTGGGCCAACTCCCTAGTCAAAGGTTATCAATTGGGAGTGATTTTTACCCCTCAGGGAACAGTGGGAAATTTCTGGAGACATTTTGACATCTCACCTAGAGGTGGGGGTGCTCCTGGCATCCAGTGAGGGTTAAGGCCAGAATGCTGCTCAGTACCCTCCAGGGCACAGAACAGCCCTGCCACAAAGAATTATCTGGCTCTAAGTGTCAGTACATCACGGTTCAGAAGCCCTGCTCTGAGTTGACAGACACAGATCATTTTCATGTGCCAGGCTCATAATAAATGGTGGCAGTCAGAGAGACCTCCAAGACATCACGGTCAGTCTAACTTGTGAGGTGACCCATAACCCACAGCAGCCCTTCATAGGGCTGCAGGTGTCAGCAACAAGTTCAGCCTAGACCTTACCTGTTGCACGTGGACCCTTTGCACTTGTCCTTCATCTTGGTATCACATTGGACAACTTGGGCTAGGACGAAAGTACGATAATACACGTCACGCAAACGGAAGGATTGGTCTGAGTTAAAAAAGACCACCCCCCACACCGATGAACCTTCTGGAACATCCTGGGATCCAGGTCATTACCCGAGCGGCAGTGCTGCCCAACGGCTGCACAGTTCAGCTGCGATGTTTGAATCCCAGGCCCACCCTTTTAGAGTAGCAGTGCGACCCTGGACACATTCCCTCCTGTCTCTGAGGTTTGGTTTCCACATTTTGAGCAGCGGGGATAAGTCCAGCGGGTGCTATTTCTGTGAGCATTAACCAAGAAAGTCAGCATAGCCTTGGAAGGGGGACTGGCACACACCAAGTGCCCCAAAGCCCTGGAAGGCTCTGGAAGGGTAGGACTTACAGGCCTTCCCCAGCCAAGATGGCTTTGGTCAAGCTTTCCTTGTTTGTTTTCTAGGGATACATCAGAATCTTGGCATAATGTTAGAGTTGGTCCAAAAGACATATATTATTTTGTAATTAAAAAATTTTTTTTTAGAAATGGAACAATTTTAACCTCTGGACAGACAAGGGCATCAGAGTATTTTCTGGTGAAAGAAAGCTACAGAATGATGAGGTGGGCAGAAGTTCCCCGGGGAAGGACACTGGCAGGCCCTAGAGAACAGAGACTGGTCGGGCAGGGCAGGGATGGAGCAGCTGAAAAACCTAAAGAAACAGTAGCACAACCTTGGCGGGGGGGGGGGGGGTGCATTTTATGCTGTTTGAGGCTTAGGGGGAAACGGAGAAGCCCGGCACACAGCCCAGGCCTGTGACGTGCCCGTGAGCCCCGAACCTTCAGTAAAGGCACTACACTGGGGACACAGAGCATATGAGGGAAGAACAAAGGGAGCTGTGAGCTGAGTGAGCTGGCAGGGCAGGGAAAAGCATGATGAGGGGTGAACATAACAACATTTCACACCTGGGCACCTCCAGGAGCCTCGTGGGGAGCCCTGGGAGGCACCGTGGTGATGACCACAGAGCTGACACTGGGTGGCCCCCATTACTGCTAATGGTCCTCACAGCAACCCTGCTTGGGCCCTACTGCCCCCTTTTCTGGATGAGCAAACCAAGTCTCAGAGGCCAGTGAGGGTCTGAGTCACCAGCCGGTATGGGGTGGTGAGGGGCCACAGCTCACCAGGGCTGGCGCTGGGGAGCCACGTCCAGCTGACGCCCCCAGAAGAACCCAGTTTTAGCCCAGGCCCCCTGGGCTGGCCCCCTTGTCCTGAAAGGATAAGGTCTAACCTTAAAATACTGGCCAGGGGGGAATGCCACCCAAGCACCACCCCTGGGATGCTAGCTTTTGAAACGACTTAAAGATATCATTTTTAAAAAAATACCTTAGGGCTGTGCTTTTGCAGCTACGCCCTACCCTGTTCCCCACTGTTTGCTGACCTGGAGACCTCTCCACACAACCCCAGCACCCCTACTCCCCTCCCCGCACCCCTGCAGGAGTGCTATATGCACCCCCCACACAGAGGTGGCTGCAGCCCTGCAGGCCTGGGGCAGGGGACAGAGCCCCCACTCACTCATGTAATTCACCGCGGGCGCTTTCTTGGGCTTCGTGGGTCTGACCACCCTGGGCTGGACCCAGACGTGCTTCTCTTCAGGAATGGGAGCCACCTCCACCTCGTTCATCTCGTCTGTTTCGGGTTTGGGGCTGTAAGTCTCTCCTTCATCGTGGAGAGGGAGAAAGAGATAACACAGAGGATTCAACACAAATGCACTTTGTGGGGAAAACAGCAACTGTGAACCTAAACTGGCTGGAGGTTCACGTTCACAAAGAGCGGGCTCAGCGGCAGCGAGAGAGTTACGCTTCGGAGCAGAGCCAGCCAGGTGGAATTCTACGGCCAAGGCCAGCGGCCGGGCAATCTGCTCGCCGTGTTTGCTTTGGACCAGGGGCAGCCGGGCAGGCCAGAGGTGCAAACCCTGCTGCTGCTGGCACCTGGGGGATCACAGTGGCTTCTTGTCCCACCTCTGCCTGCATGCCACCACCTGCCCGAGGAGGCGGCTCCAGGAGGCTGCCTCACCCTCTGACCCCAAACTGGCACCGTCTCCCTTGAGGTCCCTCTAGGCCCCAGGTAATCACTGGGGGGGAGGGGAGCCTTCCTAGGTTCTGTGCCCATCGTGGAGCAGGAGACCCGAGTCGGTGTCCTTGGACCACACTGCACCCCGCCACAGGCACGCTCTGCTCCGTTCTGGGCCCCTGTGAGTCATTGCTCAACCAACTCAACGCCTTTCTCTGCACCGAAGCTTCACTGTCCCAATGCGTACAACCAGCCAAAGACCCAACTCCAGGTTAAAAACAGAGTGACTCCATCAGGTCCTCATAGTTTTCCCAGCCCCAGTATTATCATGTTCATTGACAACCCATGACCATGACCCCCAGGTTTCAAGCATGTCAATTAACCATAGATTCCATTTCTTGTATTTTCCAGTTTCCATCCTGAAAGACACCTGCGAGCACTCAACAGCACCCACCTGCAGGTCATCAGGGTACCACGCTGTAAACTGCAGCCAACGCACAGAAAAATCTTGCTATTTTTATTTGCCTGCAAGGCCTTGTCCAGCACTAACGATGCGCACCTTTGCCAGGAGAGCCCTCCCACCCTTACGGTGTGCACACCCATCCCCCAAGGGCGTCTGTGGACCAGAGCTGGAAACCCTGCCTTGGGAGCCCCTCGGGTGAAGGTGACATAGAGCGCCTCCCAGGCCTCTTCTGTGACACCGGATTAAAATTCAAGTGCCAGCAAGTGCTCATCAACCCTCTAGCCTCATTCTCACTTCTTGTTAGGAGCCACGACCTCTCAGAGTCTCCAAAGGTGGACCAGGTGTTTGGTGGCTATGCAAAACAAGCATCCAAATCCAGGGCAAATTCTCTGGCGCTTGTCAAGTCAGGGCCGCTCTGCATCTGTTTCACAGGCCGGACCCCCAAGCACAAGCACCACCCCGGGTGAGGAAGGTGGGTGGGATTTAAGCAGGTAGGGAATGGCAGTCCTGAGCCCTAGGGCGCCCTTATCAGGGTTCACAGCATGTCACCACCACCTGCCCCTCCCACCAGCTGCAAACTCCCTGGGGCCAGGAGCCAGCCTGCCTCACTCCCCCTCGCCAGACACCCGGCTCCCAGCCACAACAATTTTGTTCAACAAAATTTGCTGAATGAAGGATGAGCTAACCCTTAAAGATTTCGGTCTTTGAGTTCTTTCGGGTAAAAAATAAGAAAAAGAAAAAAAAAGTCTTAGCTGAGTTTAAAGACATTCACGGTGAGAATTCTGATAGCACCACTTGTCACCCAAAGCTATAGGCAAAATCTTTACGAAGACACCGGGTTTGCAAACACCGCTCGGTACACATCTGATTCTGGCCTGCTCTTCCCGTCAATGTGGCTATTCAGGTTTGTGCTTCACGGAAGGCCAGAGCTATCTCTGGAATGAGCCGAGTTTTCTTCCACTGGCCTTTAGGATTTTTATACCTCATAATCGTGGCTTTATTCAGCCGAATATAGTTTGGTAAAGCAGTCAAAAGCATTTGAGGGTTCACTATTTAAGAAAATGGGCAGACAGTCCTCGCCCTCAGACACACACATGAAAAGTGGAATGCTTACCCAGAGGACAGGCTGTATTTGAGCACATCCTAATTAAGATCCTCTGTGCAGAGCAGCGCAGACCTGGGGAAATTCCATGCCCAAGTTCATGGCAAGGTTACTGTGTGCACTGTCCAGCTCCAGACCAGGGGTCTCGGGCCCCACGGCATCACTCACACCAGCCTCCAGACTCCTACCTGGTTCTGTAGGTAGTGACAGCACTCAGAGCTAACGTTTGCTGGACACCAACTGAATGATGACTTGCTGGCTTGGCCCTTGCCTGGCGTGCTTTCCTGGCTCCCTAGGAACCCTGAGTCAGCCCCATTTCACAGACAGGAAAATCAAGACTTGGAGAGGCTAAGCTACCTGCCCAAGCTCACACAGCTGAGTGTCAAGCTGGCCTTCCATGAAGCCCATGCCCTTGATCGCCACGTGGTTCCTGGAGGGACGGAAGCTTCTCGTACAGTCTATCTTTATCCCTGCTCTATCTCCATTATAGGTCAAGGCCTTGCCAGGCACCCTCAATCAATGCTTATTAAGTAGCTTATGCAGATAAGCTGCTTTACAGGAGACTTTCTGCATGGTTAGCTAAGAAAACTGGGATGCCTGCCAAGGAAACTTGGGTATTTTCCACCACAAATAAAAAAACAAGCACAGAGGCTTCATTGGGTGGGCAACCCAGCATCTAAGGTGTCTTTGTGTGCATTTGTTCTTTGAAAATGATCCTCTGTGGGTATGGGCAGTATATGTGTTCAGATGGCATGCAGAACACATCTGCTACATGACCCTGGAGCCCTCAGAGCGAACTGGCAGTTGTAACACCAGGTGACCAGGGTTCAAGGAGAGTCTGGGTGCAGAAAGAGCACAGGTGCACTGCCTGTGTAGTCAGGGAAGGCTCCCTGGAGGAGGTGTGACACCAGAGCTGTGTTTCCAAGGGGGAGCGGGTATCTGCCAGGTTCATGACATGGATGAGGCCCCCAGGCGGTGAAAGGGCCTACAGTCCCCACCAGGTGAGGAAGGGCCCCACGCAAGGTGGTAAGTGCAGTCGTACCACCCACCCCCACCCCTCTTGGGGAGGGGGAATGGAATGGGGGTGTTTATAAAGCACTATGTGCAGGCTGCTGTGCTAGCATCTCACACCCTTCTCTCCACATTCTCCATCCAGGAAAGCTTCTACAGAGGGACTCGACTCTTAGGGTCACAGATGGACAGACAGGTTCAGAGAGAGCAAGCAGTAGGCCCAAGGATGCACCTGCAGGAACCACAGAGATGAGCCCTAGCCTGAGCAGCTCTGGCTTGTGCACCTGATGGGCCCCCAAAGTAGCCCTGTGACGAGATTAGGCTTGAGTGAAGAACAGTGGAAGATGCAAAGAGAAGCCTCAATGGCCAGCCCTCTCTCTCTCTCTCTCTCTCTCTCTCTCTCTCTTTCTCTCTCTTTCTCAGTCCCCAAATCAGCACTCAGGATCTGACAGGGGACTTGCCCCCTCCTGGGCAACTGGACAGCAGCCACAGGCTCGGCCTGCCAGGGACCCGGGGAAGGGCCCAGACAGGCCCAAGGGCCAGCCTCCACCCATGGTCTTGTCCTGCACTGACCCCACTTGCAGGCAGGGAGCCTGAGGCTCAGAGAGGGGGTGGCCTGCCCGGGGCCTGTTGCTGGAGTGTGGCGGGTGTGCTCTTCCTAATGCAGGTATGCCAGACTCTAAAACCCACGTGTCTCATGAACGCAGGACTCCGAGCAGGGATATTAGGGGGGTTTCACTACAGCGTGTGGAGCCCTGCCTCGAACACAGAGAAGACGGCTGGGCCAGCAGGAGGAATTCACTTAACAGCCTCCCTGTCTCCCGGGTTCAGGGCCATGCTGCCTTCACACCTAAAGGCATACACGTGGGCTCTTGCCCCTGCAGAAGCACCCCTCTCTCACCCCTAGGCTACATCCCCCTCCTAGAGGGCCACCTGCTCGGGAGGCCTTCCCTGACCCCTCCAGACAACAGTGGATGCTCCTGCTATAAGCCCCATGACGTCAGTTACTTCTCCAGGAAGACACATGTTGCTGCTTGTGCGGCAATCCCAATCTTAGGAGGGTAGGGCCTTAAGTGTCAGGTCCCATGGTCATCCCCATAGATAGCACCCAGCAACATCCTGCACACAGCGGCGTTCAATACGTTCATACCAAATGCGGACTCTCTCCATGGAGCCTGACACCCCCCACGGAAGGCTGGTGTTGTCATGCCCATCTTCCTGCTGGTCAGAGTGACCGAAGGGTCTGAGAACCAGGCTCGAAGTCTGCCCCTGGCCGTTGTGCTGCTCGTGGATGACACACAGCCCAGGGAGCAGCACACACAGGTTTGTCACACGTCCAGACCCTTGCCCCCCCACAATGGGTGGAAGTAGAGGTGAATGGCTGGCCAGGATAACAGGGTCCCTGGGCCCCGAGCAGGTCTGGGACGCCCACCCTACCCCATCTGTTTCTGCACCCCAAAGCCCACAGGACTGATGGGGAAAGCCCCATGTGGAGAGCTGCCCTTTCCCACACACCCCTCTCTGCTGTCACAGGGCCTGCGGGTGCAGCCACATGAACAGCACGTCCCAAACACAAACCCCTGGCTCGTCCCTCTGGCCCCACTCTGTCCCTCCTGGCGGAGAGCCTGAGAAAATACTGAAAATCGTGAGCAGCACCTTAGGCAAGATGCGCTCCTTACAGCAGCAGGGGTAGTGGGGACACCTTGGTGGCTGACTAGAATCAAAGGGACAGGTACCCGGCCTCTGAAAGCCAGGGATCTGCCTCAGCCGCGGGGGTAAGGCAGCATGAGCAGCGATGACAAAATGGGTGAGACATCGGCAAGATGCAAACAAGGGTAGAAGGAAGGAGACCGACCACCCAGGGCACAAGCCTGGCCGAGCCCGGAGGGGGTCATCCGGGACGGGCACCGTCTAGTCAAGTGCTCTGCATCTCTTGTTTGTTGTGTGTTGACGGCGAACCATGAGCCCAACACTGGCAGGGACGTGTGTGCATCCAGCATCCGCTCCGGCGGTGGCTGTGGGAGATGCGTACGGGGAGGACGTGCCAGCGCAGCCCTGTGTCCCCAGGAAGCTGGGCGCTGAGCACCCCCGGGGCCGCAGAGGGGGACACCTGCCGCTCAGGGCTGCACAGGCAGGGGGAGGGAAGGCAGAGGCGTCTTGACCTCAGTGCTCGTGTTCCCGTGTGACGACAGCTCTTCCGGGACCCACAGACAGAGGGGACGGCCACCAAGGGCGGCCTGTAAGTCACTTCCTACCTCGGTAACACAGGTTGTTGTTGCAGCTGCCTCCGTAGCTGGGCGGGCACTCGGAGCAGGGCCGGCCGGTTTTGTACGGGGCTTCTCCGATCCAGTTCCCCCTGTGGACATGTCAAAAACACCGTCAGGGGGGCCACCGCCCAAGGGCCTGGGCTGTCCAGGGGAGGAAGGACGCTGTGTGCCAGGTACGAGGAAGGGAGACAGCTGCCCAGAGTCTAGAGGATGCTAGAGGAATCCCCGTGGGGAGCTGCGACACATCCTTCCTCCCCAGCACCTTCGGCCCGTGGCGCTGCTGTGTGCAACACCGCCTAGCCCTGCATCTCCCCGTGTCCTGCCTTACACGACTGAATGCTGTCGGCCACCCCTACCCCAGCCCCAATACTTTCGTGCTGGAAGCTGCTGAGATCCCTCCTTCTAAGCTGTTTCTCAATATCAGCATGTTCTAGGGAGGACCTGGTGTTTACTTAGCTCCAGTCAACCAGGTCCCTCTGTCCTGCCAGCACCCAGGAGGCTCCTAGAGCTCATAAAGCTTAAGTGACCTGCCCAAGGTCACACAGCACACAAGGGGAGGGGCTCAGAGCCTCTAACCACTCTGCCCTTGGGGTAGGGACCAAGGTCCCTCTGGATGTCATGGATACCATCCACCTCCCTCTCAAGTTCTCCAGGGGCCGGGTGCAGAGCGGTATTCCCAAGCCCTTCTCTCAGAGCCTGGGCCTTTGGCAGCACAAGCAGGAGTGACTGGGGACCCATCTCTGTGATTCCTTCTAGAAACTTCCTTCAGGGTTGAGCTGGTTGGTCACCCTTTTGCTCACTCAGGAAGGAGAGCCAGAGCCCCGCTGCTAAGCCAAGCCTGGCCCCGGCCTCCCTCAGGCGAGCTGTCCAGAATGATTCCGTGGGCTGCACTCCGGTCCTGCCAGCACGCCACCCCAGCGCTGCCCTCAGCCCTGACCCTCTGTCTCCTTCTCTGTAACAAGGGTGACAGCAGGAGGTCAGGCGGTGAGGGGGCGAGGTGTGGTGGCCCTCGGACCAGGGCCCGTGAAGAGGGCCGCGTGCTCTGTGAGCGTTTGCTGAACCAACAAGCTTGTCTGATGGCTGTCCAGGGAGTCGGGGGCCCTGTGGGTGCTGGCCGCAAGCTCTGGTGCCCAGGTCAGCGTCCTGCATGGCCAGGCCCTCAGACTCCTGAGGAAAGAGGCCATGGACACCACGGAGTACCACACAGCAATCAGGATGGCCCAGTGAACAGGCAATACAGCACACAAACCTCGAACACACAGTGGTGAGCAGGACGTGCTGAACACAGCAGGACAGATGTGGCTGGTTGGTTCACATGAGGGTCCAAACCAGGCACACTGACCAGCGGGGAGAGATGTGGGAATGGTGGCCCCTGTGGGGGACATCCCAGGCCCCTGGAGACATGCTCCATCTTGAGCTGGGTGGTAGTTACCTGGGTATACATGCGTCCCAGGTACTGACTGTGTGTCTCCCCACCACCTGTAACTCCTACCTTGAAGCCCTAAACCCCAGGGTGGCTGTGTGTGGAGGTGGAGCTTCCCAGGAGGTAAGTGAGGTGAAATGAGGCCACAGGGGAAGGCCCTGATGCAGCAGGATCGGTGTCCCTAGAAGAGGAGACACCGGGGAGCCCCCCGGCCTCCCTGCCTCCCTCTGCGTGCACACCCTGAAGAAATGCCGTGTGGGGATGCAGTGAGGAAGAGGAGCGCCAGCGCCCGGCCCCGCCGTGCCTCCCCCCGGGACACGCACCCCCTGGCCCTTGGTCACAGCCGCCGGCGCCGGCTAGCCCATGCACACGCACGCTTGAGACCAGTGTGTATCCTACGTGTTCTTTTTCTTTCCAAGAAAGCAGTTGGGCACTGGGAAGGGCAGAAGGCGGCTTCTCATAGGATCTTCATGTGTATTTTTTCTCTATATACAGAGTCTGATAATCATCCCTCACACCCACCTGCCACTCTGCCAGGGGGGTCCCCCCATCATGGGCCAGTCACAGCTCTTGCACGGGGCGGGCGTCCCTCCCCAGTGGTGATGACCTAATCCGCCTGCCCTCACGTCTGTGGGCTGCTGAGACACGGCCAGCACGGACGTGCCAGACGCCCGACGGAGAGCGTGTATTTTCCTCCTGACCTCAGCGATTCCCCTCATCCCGCCTCCTCGAGGCCACTCCTGACCCAAACCAAATAAGTGAGGTCACTGCATTTCATTTCAGTCACCAAGCAAATATGCCTTGAGGGCACACTGTGTGCAGGGCACGGTGCTAGGGCGGCGGCCAGCCCAGCGGCCGGCGTGCAAACCGCAGGCCATACACGGGGAGGGCAGTGCTCCGAGAAGCAGCACATACTTGACGGGCAAAGGAGGTGAATGAGTACATTGAGGGGTATATGGCCCCCGGATGCTATCAGGATGCTGGGAGGAGGGGACGGTGCTGAGACACACAGGCTCCATGTGGTCTTTGTTAGAAGGGAAAACCTAAAAATGCAAAAGCTAGGTCTAGCGTGAATACATTTCCTGGAGTGCTGTCTGCTGCATATTTTCAGAGAAAAAAAGACTCTCCCCACGGCACACCCCACTGGTCGGCCAGCTGACAGCTATTCCCATTTCTGATTTGCTCAGGGAGTCCCAGAAGATGACCTGCAAAGCCAACTGGGCAATGTCATTGGTCGAAGCCAGTTAGGGAAACCTCGTGCCCCTACCACTTGTCTGTGAGTGGTCTAGTTCTGGCCAGTGACATAAGGGGAAAGTGGACCAGGGATGAGAAAGGCCTAAGAGAAAGCCCTTTTCTACCATTCTCTTCCATTTGGTTTGGGAAGATGTGATGCCCGGTGCTCTGCAGCCATCTCGGAACCATGAAGAGAGGATGGTGCAGCAGGAAAACAGAAAGAGCTTGAGTCCTCACTGACACTGCTCAGCTTTTAAGCTGAACTGGATGCACCAATCTCTAGATGTCTTGTGAATTAATAAAGAGATTTCCCCGTTTAAGCTCATTTTTGTTGGGTCCTCCATGGCAGGCAAATGCATCCCAACCCAGACAACCATGTTAACTTGTTCTTACTTTGGAGAGTAATTGCAGACGAGATAGACCGCATTCTCCCAAACATCTCCCCAAACGTTCATCCTCCGGCAGGTGTTCACAGCACAGCCAATCTTGTTGGTGGTGGCCCAGACTATCTGAAAAGATGACATCCATGTGTCAGAGCCAGGGACGAGGCACAGCGGGGCCACAGAATCCGGCCTGGATCTACAGACAGGGTGCTGGCACTACAGGAGTGAAGGACCGGGTTTTTTCCTTAACCCACTGAAGATCCATCTGTTTGTGGAACACACACCGCCCCCAAACAAAAACAAACCACACACGTGGAAAAAGTGCCAGCGATGTGAAATCTCCATACAGATTTCTAGCGCTGACTGTTGGTCTCTTGCACTGGCCTCACAAACACAAGCTCAGCCCAGCAGCTATACTTTAAGTAACAGCAAATTAAAGGAAAAAATTATGGTGATGACAGAGCAGAGTTTTCCAACCGGGGAGCAGTCCTGCACAGCCAGGGGAGTGATGGGGTTTGGGGGTCCTGGGCTGAGGTCTTAGCCGACGCCGCGAGTGTTACCTGCGTGTAATGGGTGCACATGGGTCCAGAGCACCTCTCTGGACACCAGGGGTTGCACTCGTGGGGATAGGGGTAGGTGTAGTCCTTCACCTCGTCATACCAGGACTGCACGTGGAAGCCAGGAGAGCGGTACCTGTGGGGGCAGACCAGATTGTTACGTTCCGGCCACCACGACACCTGGCAGAGACGGCGGCTCACAGCACTGCTGCCCATGGGGCAGGCTGGAGGAGGGGCTACTTTGGGCGAAGAGCCCCCAGTCCTGCCCAGCACCTGTGTCAGTGCCTAAACTCCAAGCTTGCAAGGAGCGTACCTTGGGGATCCCTGGAGCCCCTCTGGGATCCAGGGGTGTTCCTGGGTGGCCCACAAGCCACCTGTGTGTGCAGGAAACGTTTGCCTGGCCCCCAGTGAGTCATTTTCTCATATTACAATTAGGTACTTACCCTCATGTATATTTGGGGAGATATATGCAGCCCACGAACCCCGTACTTCCCAGATATTATTGTTTAAAACGCAACTTGATTTAAAACGTGAGTCCATTTAAAGTCAATGCAGAAAAAAAATAAAAAATAAATAAAAATAAATAAAGTCAATGCAGAGAAAAACAATGAGTAAGTAATTGTCCAGGTAATGCACAGAAGGGCCGGGGAAGGCCTAAAAGCTGTGAGACAGCCAGCTGTGGGGAAGAGGGCACATGGGTCCCTGTCACCCCCAAACAAGAGCCCAGGGACTCAGGTTTCTGTTTCGTCATGACTGGCTTCATTCTTCAGCTGCTGAGGACCCAAGGACTCCGGTATAAGGAAGGAAATGAAATCAAGGTGCGGAAACCTGCAGGTATGCAGAGCTCTGCTGTCACGTGGGCAAAGCCTTTCAAGAAGTTCCTATTTAGGATTTGATCACCTGAGCCCTCATCCGCCCCCAGGTGAGGAGACCCCGGCCCCCACCCTGGTCATCTCCATGAGTGGCCACTGCCTCCTGGCTCGGCCCCATCCACGGGGTTGGCATCCTTACTTTCCTCCCAGGAAAAAAAATAAACTGGATGCAAATCCCCGGTCAGGTCAGCGTCACCAGCAAGTGTAAACAAAACGGTTTCGAATCAAGAGAAAAGGCACAACGGGTCTGGCCGTTTCTAAGAGCGCTGTGGTGAGCCGGGCAGTTAGAGGTCTTGTAACAATTACGGTCACAGCCCAGAGCGCATGGTGGCGGTCAGTGACATGGCTGGGGCCAGCCGGGGGAAGGACGCCCGCGGCCACCGGCCACAGAGCTACAGGGCCGTGTGGGGACACCCGCGCCCGTCCGCTTCCCCGGAGCGCCGTGGCCAGGCTGCTGCGGAAGCCCCCGGAGGATGAGGGGGGCTCTTTGTGAAATCAGATGGCCCTCTGCGTCCAGCAGGGGCAAGATCTTTGTGGCCTTTGCGCCACCAGTCCCGGCATTTAGCCTGATGGAGCGGCTAACTTGTAACCTGGCAGCTGGCAGCTGGGCAGCCCGAAGGCAGCCTCGACGACAATAGCCGCGACCTCTACGGAATAGAAGAATTGTCTGATATCGTATGAGAAGGGGGGGGGATTAAAAGCTGTCCTGGCCATTATTACCAGTATGTAAAAATATGCTGGCCCACAGCCAGATGGTACACAGGAGTCCAAGAATATTCTGGTTGTTGAGCCAGACCAGTGGAATGATGGTTTTCTCCCTGTAGACATTCTCTTTTCATGCAACCGGAAAACTGATTTTTATAAAAAAAGCAGAATTCACCGGAGGACAAAAAAAAAAAAAAAACACAAAAACAACATGTTGATTCACTTCTGCAAAGTCACATGTCTGCAGCCCTCAGGACACCTGCGCAGGTTCCATCCTGGAAAGGCAGGGACCTAGGGGAAGCGTTCCACTCGCGGTCACACCGATGCAGGCGCTTACGGAGCTGGGAAAGAGCTGCACTGCAATTCAGGGCACCTGTGCTTTGAGGGGATACGATAAGCCCAGTCCAACTTTTCAATGATACAGGCAAAGCACAGGTGGGCCCTGAGCCCTTGGCCAGCTCTGGGTCCAAACCCCGGAGCCTTGCATACATACCACATTGTCTGGTTGGCTAATGAGTCTACACTGGCCGGAAGGCAAGTTCCCCATGAAGGAAACCAGCCCTGAGCCGGGGGTGCACTCAGCTGACCCCGGGGAATGCCATGGGGCAACATCTTACAGACCACTCCCAAGACCCCCCTCCAGCTATGGGGTCCTTGGGGGTGAGACTGAGCCTCCCCATGGCCAGATGAGGAGGGGAAGGTGAGGGACAGCTGCTCTCAACATGGAACTGGCTGGGCCTTGAGAATGAGCAGAACCCAGACGTGCCAGGGCACAGAAGACGCCCTGGCCCAGCACTGCAAGAGTGACATTCCCATTTCCCACTTACCTGGCCAGCTCCCCGCTGGCCAGCCGCAACGGGCTCAGGAATCCTTTCAAGGAGGTGGACTGGAACACCCAAGCTCCAGAAACCCTGAGCCCAGGGATCAGCGTCTGGAGCCAACAAGCAGGCTCGCATCCGTTTTGCCAATTACTCAGAAGTGGCCCTGGGCGCGGAGCCCGTTTCCCGATGTGTAAATGGCACAGGTGGTCCTGAGGGCTAAACGTGACTATGGACAGCAAGCGCCAAGCCCAGCACCCAGTAGGTGCTCAGCAGCGGTGGCCAAGTCACAGGTAAGGGGGGAACCACGGTGGTTCTTACCTGCCCCAGTGGACGGCCAGGTTCTGCCCAATGGACACCAGCAGACCGGTGGGGCCGTGCTCCCAGATGCACTCTTGAGCCCATGCTGCCGCCGACTGCTCCAGCTCCTCGTCCCAGGTCTGCAGGGAGAGGACACACAGGCACCAGGAGGCCAGAGTCAGGGATGGGTAGAGGGTCCCAACCTGCAGCCATGCTCCCCCACCCCTGCTTGGGCCCCAGGTGGAGCCCGGGCCAGGCACAGTTCTTGGACACAGGGTTCTATGCATACATTGGGTGGGTTCCTGACCCAGCAAGTGGGAAGGGGCGAGGCAGCAGAGCACTCGGAGGAGCCTGGCCCACGGCGGTCCTTGCGGCTCCAGCTCGGGCTCCCACCTGCCCGGGATGCTGGGCAAGCCCCTTGCATGGCCTTTGCCTCCTCACCCGGGAAGTGAAAGGACGCCTAAGCCCTGGTGATGGTGGTGGCCGCTGCACAGCACTGTGAACGTACTTGATGCCACAGAACTGTACACTTAAAGATGGTCAAAACAGAAATTTCATGTTTTGTGCATTTTGCTGTTCTTTTTGTTTTTTTAAAGATTTTATTTACTTATTCATAAGAGACACAGAGAGAGGCAGAGACACAGGCAGAAGGAGAAGCAGGCTCCCTGCGGGGAGCCCAACACAGGACTCAATCCCAGGACCCTGGGATGATGCCCTGAGCCAAAGGCAGATAGATGCTTAATCACTGAGCCACCCAGGCGTCCCTAATTTACTGCTGTTTATTTTTGGAAAAAAAAAAAAAAGAAGCAGCCCCGTCCAGCTCGTCCCCAGCACAGCCCACCCTGAATGGGCAGGGTCTGGGCCAGAGGGTCTGAAACAGAGTCCACAGCCCGTCCTGCCTCCCAGCTGGCCCAGGGACACACATGACTCCCCGGGAGGGAACGCGGTGAACAAGGCGGTGGGGTCAGTGCTCTTCCGCGGTGGAGCAGACGCCAAGCGGCCCTCCGGCCATCTGCTCGGCCGCCTCCTCTCAGCCATCAGGCACATGCTCCAACTCACAGGCAGGCAGGCAGGAGCTCTTCCCTCCTCGGGGAGCCCTAGCTCCCGGCTCACAGTAGGTGCTCACTGAACGACAGTCAGGAAGAGCCCTGGGATCTCGGGACTGGGACACAGACCGTGCCAATTGCAGGGGGGCCCCCTGATATGGAACATCATGAAGCCCCGCACCTCCCCAACCTCCTGCCTCAATGACAGAGACTCCTGAGGATCCAGGGGCAAGCCTTGGCCTAGAACAGACACCTCTGGGGACCTGGGGCACACCCTCTGATGAACCCCATTTCGGCTGCAGTGGACATTCTGGGTACACTCAGCCCTCAGACTCATCTCTTGCCGTCAATGCCTTCCCCTTTCGTGCCCACCAAGCCCTGTGCCGCTTCTGCCTGGGATCCTTCTCCAAAGCCCAGGGCACAGCCTGGGACGGGGAGGGAACAGGCCTCCTCTGGGTGGGTGATCCTCCTGCTGCTCCCCTAATGCAGCAGATCCAAGCCCCCACTCCCACCACGAGCCCCCTGTAGCCTGCCGTGACGTCGGACTTTCTCTTTCTGCCTTCTGGACTTACAGATCACCTCCTCCCAAATAAACTACCTGCACCAACGTGGTGAATCTGTCTCCAAGCAGGGGACCACCTGATGCTCCATGAAGGAGAAGACAGCATCCACGGGCGGGTGCGTGTGCACGAAGATCCCTCTGGACGGGGCCAGCGGAGGCCCTTCCCAGAGTCCAGGGAGATCAGGCACAGCCTGTGCAGGCACTGACCCCAGCCCGAGGCTCACTAGCTTCTCAGAAGTTCCCTGTTTATTCTGATCAACATGAACCTTGTGTGCCTTTGGTCCGCGTCCATAACATTTTCTACAGCTCCATGAGGAGGGCTGCAGGGAGGGCCCTGGAAGATATCTGGGGGTCAAGGGCTTTTGAAATTCTGGCTGGAGACAGGCAAACTTGACATGTGGTCTGCAACAGGACACAGCCCAACAAGGACCCAGCTCTCCCCTCCCTGCATTTGAGGCCTCCTTCCAGGCCCATTCTTCACCTCCCACCCTCCTCTCGGCTCCAGCCGTGCCTGGCACGTAGTAGGACGTCACAACGATGTTTCCCAAACAAAGGGGTTTGGCTGTGTGCTGAGTTACTCACAGCCAACAGGCTCTTTGGCTTAGTGGCCTTGCCAGGGCAGCATTACATGTCATGACTGTCACCCCAGAATGATGCATGCGTGCGTGGGGGAATGCGAGCCTGGTGAGGCCCAGCCCCTGCCAACTCCCCACCCTCACTCACTGCAGCCCTCAAAGACCTCCCAAGGCCCCACCCGCCCCTCACCTCCCGCTCAGCCTGTGCTTTCCCAGCTGAACATGCCCCTCCCCCACCAGTCCATGTCTTACTGAAGGACAGGCGCAGGTGAACATTCCCTACCCCACGAAGGGATGACCGGGGGCCGAAAGAGGGAAAGAAGAGGGCAGTGAGGGGCACCAGTGAGAGTGTTTGTGAGGCGAGCCTGGCTGTGGTGCCAGGCTCTGCCCCATGCTGCTGGGTGACTGTGGACAAGTGGCTTCACCTCTCTGAGCCTGTTTCCCCATCTGTGCCAATGATACTGCTGGAAGAGGATTTGGGGAGAGGGTTGAATGAACAGGCATCCAGCCTCCAGGTGAGATGCAAAGCAGCTCAGTAAACAGTACGTGGATATTAAGGAAATCAACTTAGGCACCTACTGCTTGCCAGGGGCAGTATTAGGTCCTGTTGCCTGAACACCTGCCACTTGCCAGAGAACCTTATTAGCACCATTTTCTTATTTAGTTCTCAAAATAAGCCCTTGGGGAATACCTTCCTATTGTCACAGAAAAAAACAAAACAAAAAAAACTAAACAACAACAACAACAAAAACCCAAACAAAACCCTTGAGGCTAAGAGAAGTTAGGTAACTTGCCTAAGATCACACAGCAGGAATTTAGAACTTTAACAACCCAGCTTTATCTTGCTTCTAAGGGATCGCATCTTGCTCTGCGTGCTGTCACCACGTGCTGGTCCCACTCCACTAAAATAATAATAGTTACTAAAATAGTAAATAGCAACATTTTATTTAGTACATTTATTTACTACTTATGCATCGTCTCATCAACTCCTTCAAACAATCCTGAAAGGTACTTTTCCTGTCCCTGTTGGCATGTGAGGAAGCATTAACACAGAGAGGCTAACTAATCTGGCCTAAAGTCACACGGTTACCAAGTGGCAACTACCCTAAACCCAGGCAGGCCGGCCCCAGAGCCTATCCACTTATAAAACCTCAAAATAGGGTGTCTTAAGTCTTCGGAGTTTTAAATTCCACCTTTTGGGGCTAAGGCTATTGCAAAGTGTGACAGCCTGAAGCCCCTGCAGGCAGGGCTGAGCGGGAAGCTAGATTTCCTTTTTTTTTTGGAAGCTAGATTTTCAAGCCACTTTCTCAAGCTGGTGCCACTTGTTAGGGTGGAGACAGGAGCAGATGGGCAGCCCTGGGATGCAGCGGCCGGGCCTCGCACTGCCTTCCCTGCCTCACAATGCCTGCTCAGGGATGGCCCCAACAATAGTCTTAAAGGCTCAGCTTCCCTGACGGGCAGGCCATTTAGACCTGAGCACCCAGATCCCAGCTCCAATCCTGGAATAACACAAAGTAAACGAATAGGAAAACTTGGCAGGCTCATTCCGGGCTGTACTGATGCCCCCTGCTGTGTATGTGAGCCCCCCTTGCTTGGAATCTTCCTACACCCGCTGGACGAGCACAGAGCAGCGACGACAAGACCATCGTAACCGGAGCCTGTTCCCCACGGGAGGCAGGGCAGGAAACAACCAGGATCCCAGGGCTTTAGGGCTCAGTCAAGCTCCTAGCCGAGGAAAATTCTCTACTGCCTGGTGGGCGCCTTGGAGTGGGCAGGCGACAGGAGGAAGGCTGACCTGTCCAGGGAGGCGGAGAGCGTCCTGTCCCCCGGGGGCCAAGCCAAACCACAAGGTCCCGGGAAGGATGGGGGAAGAGTCCACACCCAAAGTCACAAAGAATTCCACGCTAATTCTCGAAACCTTTAACCCTAAGAAGGTCTGCGCCAGCAGCTACTGCGTTAGTATTTTGGAAGAGTGCCCACGCTTCCTCCCAAGATTAGCACAACCCCTTCAGAGTGAATGCCTGGGCAATGTTCTGGAAGGAATGAAGACATGGCTTCATCACAGGTCTCAAAGGACAGCCTTGCTCGGGCCGGGGGGGGGTGATGTGCCCAGAAGGGCGAGCCTTCCATCTGCCCTACAGCCTCTGACAGGCCAGCTCAGGAGGGGCTCCGCAGGCACTTGGGAGGGACACGGGCCACATGTGCCACCTGTAGCGGAGCACAAGGTACCCAGGAAAGGGACAGTGGGGGTCCAGGGGAGGGAGGGAGGGAGGCTTGCTTATGATGGGCTGAGGCACGAGGTAGGGACAGGGCTCCTGGGGCAGGGAAGGCCTGGTGGCATCCTCGGGGAACACGGAGCCGCCTCTCGGGACAGAAGAACTCCTGATTGGAGGCCTTGAGCACCAGGCATGAGTATTTGGGCTCCATCCTGGGCTCACAGGGCCCTGAGGCTTCTGGGCAGGAGACAGGCTTCCTGGAGGTCAGGAAGGTTACAGGAGGCAGGGCTTGGGGGGCTGGTGGGGACACCATGAGAGGTGTTGGGGGGTTGGGAAGACAGGATAAAACATCTGGAGGGGCCACGGAAGCAGACAGGAGCCATGGGGGTGCCAGGGTTTAAAGTGAGCATGGAGGTGGCCGAGAGTCGGGGTCCCGCGACCAGTCCTGCCACTCCCAGCTCTGACGTTGGGCCTCCGTTTCCTAGTCTGTACAAGGAGAGAAAAGCAGCAGGTGTGTTCGTGGGGCTGGGACTGCGGAAAGTGGTTCTGGCAGCAACAGAGAGGTGTGGCTGGAGGCAGGGCTGGAGGCAGGGATCGGGGAGCCCTTCGGCTCCCTACGTGCAGGATCTCCCCAGGGTTGTGGGAGACCCTCCACTGTCCCCTCTCTGCCAACCCCTCACCGGCAGACACCCCATCTCTCATGGGCTCGGCCCCGCTGCTGTTCAAGCAGAGCAGGGCGGCCCAGGTGTGCAGTCCCCACGGTGACCGTGGCCCCAGGCGTGAGCACCTGTGCGGGGCATTCCGTCATCAGACTGTCACAGAACCATGAGAGGCCGAGGCTCCCACTGGCCAAGGGCACATCAAGGTCTCAGGGCTCCCCAAAGCCCCGCCCTGAGATCCTCTACCAGCCTGGAGGAGAGCCAGTGAGGAGCCAGGGGCGGGCACCTGGGCCGGGCTCCTCTGTCCTGGGGACTCCCCAGTGCCACTGTGATGTCAACAACAGAGGCAGGGGACCCTCTCTTGCCGGGAGATCCCGAGCCTGCCACCCCCACCCCCACCCCGGAGACAAAAGCAGAGGCCCCCGGCCCCCGTGGGAGCGCCCGCGCTTACCATGTACTCCATGTTAGAGGCCGGGGGGTACACCTGGCCTCGCAGCTTGTTGTGAAGCATGAGGATCTCCTCCTTGTCCGACCGGGGAATGGCCCTCCGCACGCGGGAGTGGGGCTTGTCCTGCTGGTATTTGCTGAGCAGCTTCTCTAAGTGGGTGACGTTAGGCAGGAAAAAGCCTTGGGCTCCGCAGACCAGCAGCACCAGCCCCAAGGGGACGACTCCATTCAGGCTCATGGTGCCACGCAGGCGGCGAGGACCGGGCAGGGGAGGCAGGCTGGGCTCCGGAGGCGGTGCTGGGCGCGAGCTCTGAAGGGAAGCAGAGGGCAGGGCGGGGGAGGGCGGTCAGCATGAACCCAGCTCCAGCCTGGGCTCGAGCCGCGAAGAGCAGCTATCACTCTGCCCACTTTGCAGACATGAAAACCAAGGCTCCTGGAAGCTCAATACCGAAGGTCCCACAGACAGGACAGGTGTAGTCACCCTCATCCTGGCTTGTCATCTGGTCCGAGAGGACAGGGCAGGGCTGGGGAGTGTGTGTTTATTCATACATCTCGCCTCTGCTTCACCTCCAAGGGAGAGTCGGTCAGTCACGGGGACCCTGACTGGGCATCTATTTGTGGCAGCCCCTGGGACACAAAGACGAAAGAGGCCACTGTGCCTCGACTCGGGGAGCTCCCACTTAGGCTGGGGAGAGAGGCGAGGAACACCACAGTCGCCAGCAGCGGGGCAGTGCTGGAGGAAGGGACTGCAGGACCCCACCAGGGTGCCGGGCCACCTGGGCCACCGGGACGCCCTGTCCTACCACCAGAGCTCGTTGGTTGGTCTTCCTCCACATGAGCAGGAGCCAGCTCTCATGGGTGCAGCTGGCTAGGTTTGCAAGACAACATCCAGCAGAGGCATCGTCAGGGGCACGACGCAGAGGGGCAGAGGGACGAGTGCGAGGCAGAGCAGGGAGCCAAGGAGCCATGGGAACAGGGCAACCCTGGAAACTCTCCAGGGTCCTGACCGAGCCATGCTTCAGACAAAAATAGCCACCGTCCAGCAGGGAGGCCGGGCATCCTCTGGGGTGGGTGAGATGCAGAGCCCCAGGGAACCGACGGCACAGAAGGACTTGTGCATGGGCCCTCGCCTGCCCTACTGGGAATCGAACCAGTAATGCAGACCCCTGGAGTCCCGACTTCTCTCCAGGGTTAGTTGCACGGCCATATATGGACATTTTTCCAGCTGCAAAAGGCCAAGCTGACAGAGATGCCAAGACAGTGACGCCAGATGGTGATCCGTGATGGAGCGAGAGCAGAGACCAACGTCACAGAGCACCCACCAGGCTCTGGGTTCAGGACGGAACTGGGTCTGTTGCACTCTGCGCCTTGGCAGCTTGAGGGCCAGGGCATCCCCGAAGCCATGGGGCATTAATTGTTCATACAACTCAACTGTGATTCAACTAGACTAAAGCCTGAGTGGGGCTTAAATCACCAGTGGGCACACCATTCAAACAACTGTCACCAGGGGCCAGGTAAATAGTGGGGAGTCAGTGGAGTATTACACAACAGGTGTAATAACCTAGAGCCCCGTAAGCGTCAACACAAATAAACCCCAAATACGATGTTGGGTTAAAAAAGTGAAAAAAAAAAGTGAGCTGGAGAATAGGACACTAATGGTATTATTTATGCAAATTTTAAAACATACAGACCATACCTTGTGTAATTCCTGGGTAGATGTGGATATAGGCATACATACATCTAGGTGTATGCTATGTGTGCATGTTATATACATATGTTATACACACATACACACATGTCTGTGTGTTTGCATGTACATATATGTATATGGGGTGTGTGTGCGTGTTTATATGGTAAAACCACAACAGAACCAGACCAAGTTCATGATGCTGACTCCAGGGTGAGGGAAGAAAATCTGGGAAGGAGTATACGACGGACCTTGTCTCAATTTTTTAATATATCATTTATATTTTAAAAATCTTAAGCAAATAAGGCAAACTGTCCACCACTGTTTACTGCACGGGGACAGGTCGAGTTGGGAAGACCCGCAAAGTGGTGGCCCAAGGAGGGTGGCCACAGGTGCAGGATCTAGGTGGGGAGCCCATGCTATCCTTTGGACTTGTCTGTTTTTTTAAGATTATCAATTAATAAAAGGGAAACAATGTCAAAGCACGAAAAGACAAGGAAGCAGTTGCTGGTTCCAAGTGCATCCTTCGGGCAAGTTCTGAACTGGTGCAGCCTTATTTCAAAAGACAAGACACGGTGCCTTCACTGTGCTCATGACGGAACTGCCTGCACGCAGGACCTGTAGGCTGGTCCTTGTCTGCATGGCCCCAAAGAGAAATTGTAAAGCCTTGAGGGCAGCTTCCAAGTTGGGAACACCATGTATGGGGGCACCACTCATGGGAGCATCACTCACAGGGTATAGTCACACCCTCCCGACAGAGGAGAACACAACCGAAAGGACAGGGACAAGACATTTCTCCAAGGGCCTCCTCTGCCTCGCCTCGGCCAGTCACCGCCTGGAAAATGCACACGCCCTGGGTCACGCCGCTCATGGCTTGCACAGGAAGTACACCCCGTGCACCACTGGTTCTGAACATCTTCTGGCCTGGCCAGAGCTCAGGGGGCTGGGGAGGAGCGAGGCCCGGATCGTGTCAGTCCTGCTAAGTCTGCACTGTAGGACAGGGCCAGTGGCTCTCCTCCCAGGGGCCCCACATGGTGCTGGCACAAAGGAAACAAGTATGGGCTTCTGGACTGAGCTGTGGCCTCCCCCAGATTCACAGGCTGGGGGCCCGGCTCCTAGCACCTCAGAGTGTGACTGTATGTGGAGATAGGGCCTTTCAAGAGGTCATTAAGTTAAAATGAGGTCACCAGGTGGACCCCAACCCTGTCTGACTGCTGTCATCATAAGAGAGGGGACTGTGATGCAGACACCCACCAAGGGAGGGCTGTGCAAGGACACAGGGAGAAGGCGGCACCTGCAGGCGCAGGAGAGAGGCCTCGGGGGGAAGCAGCCCTGCCTGCAGTGGGGGCTCGGACGTCCAGCCTCCCGCAGTGCGAGAAAACCAATCTCTGTGGGCAAAGCCCCCTGGCCTGTAGGGCCTCTGGCAACCTAATATGTGCGTCGGGCATACATGCATGATCAGGACTGCGTTCCCAATACCCTACTGGCTGCTGTGGGAAGGAGGCAAGGGGGACACGGCTCACCAGGAGGCCGAGGCCCACTTCACTGCGGCATCGCTGGCAGCCGGGCCTGTGCATCTGCTGCCCCAACAGCTCAACCAGAACTTAGGGCCAAAGTACTTCAGCCGCTTTCCCACCTACAATCACAACATTAAAATCCTTTCTTCAAATGAGACACAGGCAGTATCTGAGGCTGCCTGGGGCTTCCCAGTGACAAGTACAGCGCTCAACCGACCAGGGAGGCTGACACGGAGGGAGACCTACTGTGCGCCAGTCCCTGGATTTCTCATCTCACCCACCCAATAACTCAGAGGCTTGGGTTCTAATGCTCCCATTACAGAGGAAGAGAGTAAGCTCTGAGGTTTCCGGAAGAGCCCGAAGTCGCAAAGCTGGTGAGCAGAAACGGTGTGCTGGGACCCAGCCTATCTGGCCCCGGGCCCTCTCCTTACACTGCCCTGCCTCCCTGGGAGTGGGCTTCCTGGAGGGGTTCCTGGCAGCAGCCTGTGGGGGAGAGGACCCCGCGGCAGCCCCCTCCACACCGGCCTCTGGGTCAGATAGTGGTTCTGGAACTGAGAAGGCACCCATGTGTCACCTCAGGGGACTGAAACATTACAACACAGTGACCTTTCATCAAAACATGCCTCCGTCACTGGGCGTGGCACCCATCTAACCTCCCTCTGCTGCTGCGCCTGACTCCCACATGGTGAGCTGACCTCTGAGCCCTGGCATCGACTCTTTGGATCTCTGGTTCCACTAGGGCAAACCTCCTTTCTAGAGAAGCCCTCCTCCACTCTGTCAGCCTGGGCCCATCTCTGGTGGCTTGAGATACGTGTCGTGGACGGCCGTACCGCGCGGCAGAAACACTCACCAGAAGCTATGGTTCTCCTTTGCCACAATTACAGAACCAAGCCTATGAGAGTACAAACATGATAGCAGTGCCAAGGTCTCACGAGGATGCAGATGTCAGTCCACCAGGGAGGGGGGGGGGGAGCAATGAGGCTTTCAAGCCTCATGGCCAACGGCAAGACCCCAGCCTGGCAAATGAAAGTCACAGGGAATCAAATTCCTACAACACTGCCCAGACCTCTTCAACGCATCTGGAGCCGCCAGGGTGGTGGCTGTTTCCAACCCCATTTTACGGAAAAGAAAACTGAGTCTAGGAGACTGCTGCCCGGTGTTGGTGAGGCTGTGCGGCCGGGTTCAAGATGGAGCTGAGCCTTGAAATCCAGCTTGCTGAAAGCTGGTGGAACTTCCTTTTTTTTTTTTTTTTTAAGATTTTATTTATTTATTTATTCATGAGAGACAGAGAGAGAGAGAGAGAGAGAAGCAAAGACACAGGCAGAGGGAGAAGCAGGCTCCACGCAGGGAGCCCGATGTGGGACTCGATCCTGGGACTCCAGGATCACACCCTGGGCCAAAGGCAGGTGCTCAACCGCTGAGCCACCCAGGGATCCCAGGTGGAACTTTCAACACACGTCGTGGTACCAGCTCTGCATCCACCTCGCCACCCTCGCCGGGGCCCATCTAGCATCGGGGTCTCCTTGTGGTTACCTCCAGGGCAAGGCCGCCCCCCCAACCCTCCCCCGGGGAGCAATAAGAGAAAGAGCGCGCTGGGCGCTCCGGGCGTCCTCCAGCCAGGGCCGCCCCGGCCTGTGTTTGGGAAAGCCTGCCAGGAAGATGAATCTCAGCCCTGAGTTCGTGGGCCGTCAGCTCTGAGATGTGCCAAGCTCTTCCCTCCTGCACATGCTGTTCCCACAGCTCATCCCGCGGCCCCAACCTGCCCCCTCCCTGGCCCGGGCCAGGCCGATTAATTCCTGCTCTTTCACTTAAGATTTAGCTCCAGGGTCACTGCTGAGTCACACCCCCAGACCTGCCGGGCTTGTTTGCTGCTGAAGCGCCGACAACTGACAAGTCCGTGTTCAATAAATATTTATGAAATGAATGTGCGGGTCTCATCCTCCCGATGAGGTCCGGAGAGCCATATAAGGGCTGTGCGTGGTGTTGGCTGGATCATTCCCCGCTGCACGGGCCGTCTGGGCACACAGAGCAGAGTCAACTGCTGACACTGCCCCTCACCAGTGGCGTGGCGCGGGCACGTACCTTCTCTGGGCCCCGGCTGCCACG